TGGAACTTAATAAATAGTCATATCGTAATAGGGAGAAAAAAAAAAAAAAACAATTCTCAAACATAACAGGACTACTTCCAAAACAAAGCTTCAACCACAGCTCTTACTTCAAAACGTCAAAACCACGCAATGCATGAGTTCTAAGATGTATGCTGGTGTTCAATTTTTTAAGAAATCAAAATTGCTCTATCACACTGAAAAAAAGTAATGAAATAAACAACATTGTATGCGAAAGTTGAAAATCCAGTACCCAACTACCATCGGTGGATGGATCGATTTTCGGAAGCCCATAATTGGGATATTTTTGTAAATATATAGCACTGCTCTTTAATTTTATACGTACCCTTATCCTGGAAACAACAATCTCTCGGTTCATAATCTATGTGCTTAAACATTTGACCAATTATACACTCCCATATGGTCTAATCTGGAGTGTTTTTTTTCCCCTTAGCGAGGTGAACAAATTAAAAGGTTTTTTTTTCTCTCTCTCATAACATTTGATCAACCGAAATGTTAAATTATCAAAATACAGCTTTTACTTTTTAAATTGTTTTGATTCAATCTTATTTTTTTCCGTATTGATTGAGTCTGTTTATTAGAGTTTTATATATAATACACCACACATTAAGAAATATGATAAGTCGCACAAACTCACAAACTAATGATATTATAACAAAAGGATAATAACAAAATAAATTAAAGAATAAAAAGACTCAATTATAAAAAAGAGTACAAGACTTTGCTCAAAATAATTTTAAAAATACAAATAGCATATATGAACAAACGAGATATACAATTTATTCAAATTAAAATAGTACGGAGTTTAAGAAGAGGAGGAACTCGCTTTTTTGTTACCTTTTGTGTTGGTTTTTAGTAGTATTGTGCCTACTTCTAGCACCATGGCGATATCCTATCATTTCATCTATCTCGCTATCTTTATGATAGCCCTTGCTAGCTAGCTCTTTTGTCGCGATAATGAGAGTAACTTTTTGTAGCTCGAAGAACAATGATGTTCCTTTCTCCCATCTTATTGTGTTTGGTCGCTTTTTCTTCAATCGAGTGTCGGATTAGTTTGTATTGGCAAGAGGAGTCCACATGTGACCTAACTTGTATCGGTGCAAAGGTCTCATAGGTGGTTCATGCTTCGGGGTGTTTGTTGCACTTGAGGCGTTGATAAAGATGTAGGTACGGATCTTATTTATTTTTGTATTGTTATTTATGTCTCGTTAAAATTTCGACGCATTATCGATTGAAGTGTTAAAAAGTAATATAAAATTATTATTGAAGTCTTATATAATAGTTTAAATTTTTTTTAGATGGTTTTTTAATATGATATTAGAGTCTCAAAAAGGCCTAACGATACGAGTAAAGATCCTAGAGCCCAACTTACTTGATAGATCCCAAAAAAATGAATTGCTAGTAAGTTAATATGATTAATGCATAAAGTTGAGAAAGAGCCACACATCACAAATCGAAGTCTTTTAAATGGAATTCAATCTCAACTATCCAATTCTATATAGTACAAAAGCCTTGATGACCAAATAATCACGAGTTCGAATCTCATCACCCTCACTTTCTCTTCTTATTAAATGATTAAGCACGAAGATGGCGAGTGGGTTTGTGTAAGGTTCGAAGCCTAAAAAATTTCACTTAAGGAGATGTGCTAAATAGTAATATAAAACTATTTTTAAGGCCTCACTCATTAGCTCAACCTTTTGGGTTGAGATAGTTCTTTGACGTGGAGAACATTGACTAGTGGAATATTAGGATTAACAAAATCAAATGTAGTAGAATGAGTCAAAATTTCATGATCATCAATCATATGTGAAAACTTGATGATGAACAAGTAAAAACGGTTAGGGATTGATTTTTTACTCAATTTTCCATAGCCCGGGGCATTGGCAAGGTGATGGTCCTCGAATTATATTGTTGATGAGATGGTTTCCAACCTAGATTGATTGTGTGGTGATTATATCTTGATGGATGTTAATTTAATGGTGAGTACTTATAAAATAACTCTATCTTTAATGATTGAAGAGCTCCTTGGTGGCTAAATTAATTTACGAAAAGAGGCTTTTACCCTCAATTGGATTTAAGAGATTAGTTTATATATATAAGAGATAGTTAATAATATAGTTATTCTGAATTTAGAAAACATAACTCGAACGTTTGGCTTGTTACCCTTTATATAAGACAATCCATAATCAATTTGCATGGAGTGAAGGTTAAAACGGTCTTTCTCTATGCGTTTAATAAGTATTGAAATCTACTTGAAGGCTTGAAACTCTTTTAAATGATAATTATTGTTTAATGATGTATGCAATCATAATTGATGATGATGTAACATAAATATTTTAAAAAGTCATACTTTCATTGAATGAATGTCTTTTTGATCTTGTTGAAAGACATCTTGTTAATTTATTCTAGTCACCAATCCGTATTGATTAACCGAGTCTCATCCATTACGTTCAAAAGAAATTCTTAATCGGCGGTTTTCATGGGTATGATAATATAAGTATATAAAGTAGGTATTAATTTGTCATTGGATTAGTGGTCCCCGCACCATACATTTTTTAACAAACGAGAGAAATTAAGGAAGGAAAAAAATACATTTACATGTCACCCGTTGCTTTAGATAATTGTTAAAGTCAAGGTCCGCAGACCGCACTCGCACAGATGAAAATTTCCACAAAAACCTATACAGAGAATGGGGCGCAAAATAGATTATGCTCCCCGTTCCTATTAAAACTCTCCATTTGACTATTGAAAAAGCGCCCTATAGCTCCAACTCTTGGAATTAACCAAATAAACTCTTCAAAACGAACAAGAAATTATGTCGTATCGGTTGGTACACGTTACCATGACTTTCGGATACAATTACAAGTCAAATCCGATCGATGGTGTTGGAAAATTTGTCATTGAGATGAAATAACTAGGAACTAAACAACTCGTCGGATAGCTAGCCATTTGTATGCGCGTAAGATACGACAACTTCATTTATACTCGTATTTGATGTGAACATCGAGAGAAGGATGTTCGTTTTTTTTTAATCTCATATCCAAATTTTCGATTTCGATCTTCTCGTTGAGTAACTTATTGATCTAGTCTTACCTTTTCAAGTCCAATCTCATCCGATGCCACCTACATACCAACCAAGTCCCATTTTTCTCCTCATATTTGCGTATTTTAACATTGTATGCCTTTTCCGAAGTCCACAATTTCGTGTCGTATTACACCAAGTGGAAGATTTAATACAAGTGCAAGAAAGATTTATTAAAAAATGTTCGAAGAAAAGGAGTTCGTTATGTATGATACAAGTCATTCGAATGAAGCAACTTTCAAAGTTGAACAAAAACAAAAAAATAATGATAATGCAATGAGATATCAATAGCAGAAGAAAGAGGAATTAAAAATTAATTGGTGTACGGTGAACTCATCACACAGGAATAAAAAAAATAAAAATTTTAAGGAAGTTAACTAACTAAATTATTTACGTAATGTCGCTTCTAGCGGTGTTATTGTATCTTTTTCTTAATATTTTATATATTGGGACGGTCGTTAAATTAAGGCCGGCGACCTTTCGTGTCCCGATGGTACGTAGAAGTTGTGTTTATTTATTAACAAAAGTCTTTTTCTTTACTACGGAGTTGTATTTAATGGACGAGCAATTAAGTAACCCGACTCGCCTTATGCATAACTCGTCGGTGTTTAAGTACTTATGTTAACGCTTTCATCAAAACAGAGTAAAATAGAAGAAGTTAATTCATCCCTCCAAATTAAAAGAATTAAAAACTATAAATGAATAAATTAAGATATTATAGAAGGAACGATACTCCTTCCTTAGGTCATAATTCTCTTTGTTAAATTAAGAAAACACTCCACCCTTCAAGCCTCATCCCCTAGTTCAAAACATTAAGTTATAGGTTATTGTATATGTAATGAATACTCTAGATGTTAGTGCTCCAGCGATTTATTATATTTACATATGATTTTGTTAATAATAAATAAATCAAAATAATATAAAGATAATAAGTATAAACAACGGATGGTTACAGGAATAAGTATATTACTTGGTGAAGCTTTTGAGATTATATACAATAGTTGGTTACAAGATAGAGTTTGTCGCGGAAGGGATATGTATAAGAGATATCAAGATATAACAAAAGTCGTTACAAGGAGATAATGTTCTCTCGGTGATAAAGCTAACTAACGAGTTTGTTATTGGCTTTAACACGCCCCGCAAGATTGAGGCTCCATTGGAGACTCCAATCTTGGAGCGAAGATCACCGAACCGTTGTCGACTTAAGGCTTTTATTAGGACATCCGCAAGTTGATCTTTTGTGGAAATATGATGAACTTTGAGAGCACCGAGTGGCCACACATTCCCGCACAAAGTGATATTCAAGAGAGACATGTTTCATTAGTGAGTGGAATACTCGGATTTGCATAAAGATATGTAGCACTCGTATTATCACAATAGAGAGATGTGGGCGGAGGCAATCGGATGCCTAACTCAGAAGTAAGTTTTGCAGCCATATGAGTTCGGCATTAGTGTTGGCTACTCGCTTTGTATTCGAGCTTCGAGGAGGATCGAGAAACAGATTTTTGTCTGTTGGATTTCCACGAAATTGTATTGGGTCCTATGTAGATGATATACCCTGTTGTGGAGCGACCATCATCACAGTTGCCACCCCAATCCAAGTCACTAAAGCCTTTTAAAAGCAAGGTAGCGCCTTTTTGTAAGAAGAGGTCATGGTGGATCGTGCCTTTTAAGTATCGAAGTACATGTTTCAAGGCCGTCCAATGCAATTCGGTGGGTGAGTGAATGAATTGAGAAAGTCGATTGATAGCAAAGTAGATGTCCGGACGCGTGAGGGCGAGATATTACGGCCCACCAATGAGTTTTCACGTATGGGGTTGGATTGATGGGACGAGTACCATCTTTTAGCGATAGAGGGGTCGTGTGACATATAGGAGTAGAGACTTCCTTTGCACTCGTCATGGAGAAGGTGTCAAGCAAGTCGAGTGATGTGTCGATGCTCGGGTCGAAACAAGCCGGAACTAGTGTGAATGACCTCAACACCGAGGAATTGGTGGAGCTCCCTAGATCCTTCAAAGAGAAATGCCGACTTAGCCGCATAACAAAGGATTCCAAAAAGGTACTCGTTATTTCTCGTGAGGACAATGTCATCAACATATACCAAACAATAAAGGCATATGCCATCCTTGTTGTAAATAAAGAGAGAGGTGTCGACAACCGAAGTTGTAAAGCTCGATTGTAATAGAAAGCTCTTGGAGCTTGTTTCAAGCCATATAATGCTTTCTTCGACTTACGGACATGATTCTACAGATGAAGAGTGGATAAAGCCCGGTGGCTGAATCATGTAAACATCATCCGAAAGGGTGCCTTGGAGAAAGGCGTTGTTGATGTCTAGTTGGCGAAGTGGCCAATTATGAGCAAGTGCAAGACTAAGAATAACACGAATGGTGGTTGGTTTGGAGATTGGATCGAAGGTCTCCGAGTAATCTAAGCCGGGACGTTGGTGGTAGCCCTTGGCAACAAGACGTGCTTTGTATTTTGCAAGCTGTTCCATCGGGATGCCTCTTAATGCGAAAGACCCAACGACAACCGACCAAGTTGTGATCTCCTTGGGGAACAAGATCCCATGTACCATTGCGCATAAGTGCATCAAATTCCTCCGACATGGCTGCCCACCATTGTTTATCTTTCATGGCTTCGGTGAAGGTTTTTGGTTCGAGGTACGGAGGCATTGGGTGAGTTATTGTGTGATTGACAAACTTAGGGTTGTAATATTTCGGGTTTGGTTTTCCGGCATGGGTAGGACGGAGGTTATGTGGGGGTGCTTGGAGCTAGTTGGTTTGGCGAAGTTGGCGTGGTTTGGTTTTCCAATGTAGTTGGAGGTGGGTCCGGTGGAGTGATATTAGGTGTTGGTGGTGGTGTTTCGATTTGAATATGAGGCCGAGGTGGAAGTAGTTGGAGAGAGGATGAGGGAAGAGGTGCTTGGTGGAGGGTACTTATTTGTGAATTTGCAGAGGAAGACTCCAATGCCGACGGTGATGTAGTGAGATGGCGATGTGCTCGCATGCATAGGGAAAACATGTTCTCGAAATTTGACATGACGAGAGACATAAACACGTTTGGAAAGTGGATCAAAACACTTATAGGCTGATTGACTAGTGGAGTAACCAAGGAATATGCATGGTTTGGACCGTGGTTGAAGTTTGGAGGTGGTGTAAGGTTGTAGCCATGGGTAGCATAAACACCCAAATATTTTTAGACGATGGTAAATTGGCATCTACTTGAATAGTTTTTGAAAAGGAGACTGAAAGTTGAGAACGAGGAGTTGGAAGTCGATTAATGAGATAGATTGCTCGTTTGGAATGCATAAGGCCAATAAGAATTAGGAAGAGATGCGAGTGTGAAGTAGTGTTAAACCCGTTTCAACGATATGACGATGCCGTCTTTCGGATGTACCATTATGTTCGGCGTGTAAGGTGGTGTTTTAAAGTGCGAGATGCCATGAGAGTTAAAAATAAATGCTAAAGAAATGTATTCACCTTCATTATCCGTGTACATGGTTATAATAGATTGATGGAAGAATTTTTCTACTAATAGCTTGAATTGGGAAAAAAGACTTGCAACCTCCGATTTTTTTGCCATGGGATAAAACCAAATATATTTTGTAAAGTGGTCAACAAATATTAAGTAATATCGAAAACCATCAAAGGATAAATCCGTAGGTCCCCAAACATCGGAATAGATTAATTCAAGTGGTTTAGAGCTATGTAGAGAATTTTTTGCAAAAGGAAGACGATGGCTTTTATTAGAGTTGCAGGAATTACAATAAAAATTTGGATCCGATGAAAACCTAAAATTCAAAGTACTAGACCAAAAAATGGAGCGAATGATAGGAATTGATGGATGACCCGGATGCTAGTGCCATTCACTAAGGCTAGAGGACATTATGGTATGATGAACTTGAGGAGTCATTAAGCTAGGAATGCAGTAGACATCATTAGTTTTCACCTCGCGAAGCACCGGCACCCCCGTCCGTAGATCCTTCACAAGAAAATGTAAGGGAAAAAATTCAATGGAGACATTATTGGACTTGCAAAATTTTGAAACGAGAGATCGGATTATTTTTAATTGTAGGTGTACACGAATATCATCTAAAGCAAAAGAAGTATTTTTGCAAACAAGGTTGGTATTGCCAATATGTGATATTTGCAAACTCGTACCATCACCAATGTGGATTTCGTCCGGACCACCATAGTCCGAATAATGCTGCGAGTTATTGATGTTGCCGGTGACGTGGTGTGATGCACCGGAATCAAATAGCCATGGTTGAGAGTTTGTGTTATGAAAGGAGGCCATGTTAGCTTTAGGAGTGGACTCGGAGCCGATCGTGATAAAGGGGAATGCATAATATTATTGGTCTTGAGGAATCGAGCTAACTTGTGGCATTCTTGAGTGAGATGCCCCGGTATCTCACGAAGTTACAAAAAGAGTCATATGAGACGGAAGATCGATTTCCATTGTGCCTATTGGAATTCCAATTGTTGCGATTGAAAGAGGAATAGCCATTGCCTCGATTTGTGTTATTTAATGCGGAATGATTGAAGTTGCTCCACGACTTACTACGCCAAGAATGATTTGGGTTAAAGTGACGACCGACATAGTTTCTTGTCGCAATAGGAGTATTGGTGGAGAGTTCGATCGCTCGAGGCGGCGCTCAAAGTCCTCGAATTTATCAAGTAATTCATCAAAGGTAATTGGGGTATCACGAACACGGACAGCGACTGCAATGTGATTAAACTCATCTCCAACCCCCTAAGAACATGTAGGATCAAGTCATCTTTGGCAATCGAAGAGTCGGCGATGGCAAGGTAATTAGCGAGTGGCTCTAGCATCCCTCATGTATTCCGCTATAGAGTGTGTGCCTTGTGGGTTATCATGAAGTTTTTCCTTGAGGGACATAATGCGAGAGCGTGATTTATTTACAAAAAGGACATAGAGTCGAGCCCATGCTTCTCCGGAGGAGGAGACGGAAGAGATGTGGGATTGGATTTCAGCCACACAACTTCCTAATATGGCGTTGAGAATTAGTTGATCTTGTCCGTACCGGAGGAGAAAGTCCGGGTTTGCAATGATTTTGGAAGTGTCTTTAGGATCTGCTATTTGGGTGGCGAGTGGTGGTCGGTTTCCATCAATGTGGCCAGAAGATTGTGGTCGATGAGCGCAGATTGGAGCCGAGTTCTCCAAACGGAAAAATTTGAGTGAGTGAGTTTGGTGGGAAGGTGTGAAGGGGCATTGAAGGAAACAATTTGATTTTCAAGAATAGAGGATATGGAGGCCATGGATCTTTGAAAGAGCTTTTAAACTATTTTTGGCTTTGATACCATATAAACAACGGATGGTTACGGGAATAAGTATATTACTTGGTGAAGCTTTTGAGATTATATACGATAGTTGGTTATAAGATAGAGTTTGTCACGGAAGGGATTTGTACAAGAGATATCAAGATATAACAAAAGTTGTTACAAGGAGATAATGTTCTCTCGGTTATAAAGCTAACTAACGAGTTTGTTATTGGCTTTAACAATAAGAAGTAGAGAGAAATAAATCGTTTGAATCATATATCAATGTCCAATTACAAGGAAAAAAAAAGAATTAAAACGTTGCATAATGTATACAAAGTAATCGTGTTTTTTTTGTTTTTCCTTTCAATTAATAGCATCCTGGACCAACATTTGCATATGAGTCTAAATTCATATCTTCGAGTTTGGTGAAAGATAATTTTTCTATATTAATTTGATAAAAGAATTCATACGAAGTTTACTTATCACCATTTAGGTTTTGAATACTAACAATTAAAAAAAAAACTATGCATTCAAGATGGTTTGTTTATTGAACGAAGTGACTTTAGTTATTTAAATAAATTGTTTTGAAATCGAGTATCTATATATAGAAAACTCTTTAAGTAGTTGTGCTCGTCTTATTCATTCAATAGAACAAAGAGAGATTAATTTGAATTTTTAGATTTGAGGTGCTTTGAAGATAAAAAAAAAAAAAAAATTATATTTATTAAACTAACTTTTTCGGGTTGCTTCTGTATGTCATCCCCAATGCAATCATCTATCAAGGTTACATGATTAGATACTCGAGCAATTAATGTAATTTAGAACCAATCAACAATAATGCAAAGAGGACCCATAAATCAACTTTTTCGTACTCGACTAACATTTCTAGCAAGCAAAATGATATACACTCTCTACGCTTGTCTATTTTAATTCTGGCAAGTGGTCACCATAGATAGGCCATAGGCAATGCATATATTTTGCTTGTTGCGTCATGGCTATAGTAGAGCTTTTGACGACTAATTGATTTATACACCTTTGATATGTACGTCGAAGTTGTTATTGAATTCTTCATGCCATTTTCATATATTGGGAAATAAAATCCTCAAATTAATATTATCCTAGTGCTGCAATGCTCTTCAACTTATATTTCCAACATGTAAAATTTCTCAATTATCATTGCATAATCGCTAAAAAAATATCAATTAAACAACACATACGTCAAATAATTTTTTTCCAAATTATTCCCATCATATTAGAAAAATTCAAACAAGAAGCGAAGGAACTTCAGAGGAAATAAGACACACGTGGTTGCCCCTGTTGTACTACATTATGGGAATCTTGTGAATCTCGTGGAGGTTGTGTTCCATTCCTAATAAAATATTTGCTGTGTTTTGAGAGTTGAGAGCTCATTGTTTGCCGTACTTTGATTAATAAATATGCTTCAAGCACTAAAAACTTAATTATTTATTGCCCAATAGGATAAACTAATGGAGGATTTTTGTTCTTACTCTCTAGTTCAAGCTGGGTCAATAAAAAGGGCATGTTGTTAGTCACACGAAATTAAAAAAATGTGTCTTGTCTATCAAATAAGCAACAGAGCCACAAGTATACACCATTCTCTATTATCTTTCTATTTAAACAACAAGTTATGTAACAACCGTTTTATTTTATTTTATTTTATTTTTATTTCTAATATTTGAGTAACGATAAATCAAACAGATTATTCATCTTTTTGTATGAATTCCACTCTTTGAACATGAACTCCTAAAGGCATGGTTTTTTTAACGACACTTGTAGCATAGTTAAAAGACAGTCCAACTTTCAGATAGAAAACAACATACGCTAGGGTAAAAAAAAACCCCTCCCACCCACACCACCAGCCTCCCCTTGATTTGGTGATCAATCGAATCCAAGCATTTCCCTTGGAGCTCTTTTTTCCCCCTTCCTTTTTGACAATAAGGAGACACTTTTTTAGAATGGCATGTATACAAGTTCCTAAATCCTGATGAATTTGGCTACGAGGAGCACACAATTTTGATGACAGGATCTCTACGCAATACAATTACTGGCTTTCTTGAGGAAACGGTTATGACTGGCATTCAACAACTAGTACACGTCTTCCTATTTAAGCCATGCATGATGTAAAGTGACGATCTTTGTCCTTGCCAATCGGTGCTCTCTCTCCATGATCATAAACACGCATAGAAATTATTCAAACCTGAATATTTTTTCACCTCAAACACATTACGTTTGGCACAAAATTTTCTAGTATTATTAATATAACTTTCAGATATTGGAGTTCGCAACTCACGTTGATCGTTTCGATTTCAATGTATAGAAAAATGTTATAGCATATGTAAAAAAAAAAAAAAAAAAAAAAAAAAAAAAAAAAATATATATATATATATATATATATATATATATATATATATATATATATATATATATATATATATTGTAACAGAATACATTAACTAGTATTAATTTGAATAATTTGAATGATACATCAGTTTGAGTGAGAATGGATTATATGAACTCCAATGACAAAATTAATCTTCTTATTAATTTGTTTTACCTAGATATTTATATC